CGGGCGAGCGCGCTCTCTCCTCCAGTCCGGTGCCCCGGCCCAGCGTCCCCGTACCGTCCACCTGCGCCGGGCCAGAGCCTCACTCCTTCTGCTGCGGCGCGCGCCCCGCCTCTCCTTTTATAGCCTCCTCCCTTTTCCCCCCCACCCCGCGGGGTGCGCGCGCCCGCTCGCGTCACACAGCTGGGGCCGCGAAACCTGTCCCCGCCCCCCAAGTCCTGAGCCAGCCGGCTCCGCCCCTACCCCGCCCCCCAACGCCATTGGCCAAGTCCCGCCTGACCACGTCCCGCCGGGCGGTGCCGAGCCCGGAGAACGGGAAGGTCGCACCCCCAGGCTCCGAGATGGCCAATGATCCACAGTTTGGAGGGGCTGTAGGCGGGATTAAAAGAAGGTTTGCAAAGGGATTGAGGGAGAGACGGGCCAGTCGGGGAAGGGGCGGGGCGGAACCTGACGCTTGCAGGGTGGAGAGCGCGGGGAGAAAGGGGGAGGGGAGCGGAGCAGGTGGCAAAGCGGCGGGGTGGGGGGACAGGGAGGAGAATCCAAGGCCCTGAGAGGGAGGGGAGAAGCGACACAGCATGCCCGACCCGAGCGGGACGTGGCTGAGGAAAATCCCACTCGCGGACGAGCCACTGCGCCGCTCTCCAGCCTGCCCGGGAGAGTCTAGAGAAAGGGCGTGTGACCGGACGCGTGCGCCCGCCTCACTGAATCCGACCCGCCGCAGGGCCGAGGCCAACCGCCGCCGGAGGGGGCAGCTGCGGGACCCGACGGCCGGCCGCGCTGGGGGCGGGGAGGGAGGCCGCCTCGCCCACCTCCCGCCAGGTGACAGTTTAACTGTCTCCCCGGCGCCCGGCGGCAGCTCGGGATGAGAAGCATCCCGCTGTATCGCTTCTCGGCCTTTTGGCTAAGAGCAAGTGAGAAGCATCCCGCTGTGTTTCACTCGTCGCAGCTCGGGCCTCGGCGACGCGTTGGCAGGTGCTCTCTGTGACACAGAGCTTTCCTGGGGTGCGCGTGTAAGAGGATTCGGGGCTGATCGACGTGCGGGTCCTTGGGGAGCGGGGAAAGAAGGGACTCGGAGGGGAAGGGCGAGTGCCTTTCCCCAACCTGCGACCGAAACGCCCGGAGCTACAGTGGGCGTGGAATCCGGCGTCGGTCTCGGCTAAAAATATGGCTCACAGGTAGCAACGGCGCCTGATTGGCCGCGCCGGTTCCCTAGCAACCACGCGATTGGCTGCCTGGTAACCAGGAGACGGACGTCAAACTCGGGCTGGGGACGGCGGAGAGACTTACAGGGGGAGCCGGGCGGAGGGGAGAGGCCCGGCGATGAATGGAGCAGGCGTCGCAGGCCTCCCCTGCCCGGTCCGCGTCCTCTCTCTCCAGGAGCGCTTCCTGGAAAAACACCAGCTGGGCGCCGCCTTCCCTCCTGACGCCAGGCCTGGTACTTAACCTGCCCCGAGGAGCCTCGACCGCAGCTCGGCGCGCAGTGGGGGCGGCGGCGGGCGGTGCGGACCTGGCCTCGGCCCCGAGGACGTAAAATCGGGCTGTCGCCCCCTCGCCCGAACCGAGTCCCGGGACCTGTCGCCTCCCGCGCTAAGGGAAACCGCATTCAGAAAGGATATTCCTGAAAAAGCGTGCGAGAGGGAAAAGGAGATGGATCTGTGGAGGGGCTGCGGGTGGGGAGGGTCAGGTGACCGGTTTTTTGTTTATCCTACAGATTCCTGAAGCTCGGCAGCGCTTTTTTTTTTTCCCCCCTAAGGAACATAGAAGTTTTTCTCCGTGACTTTAAATTCTGATTCATTTTTAGTACCTGGGTTTCTCTCTTTTTTTTAACCTGCCGGCAGAATCATCAAAAGAGTGGGATTGAACTGTAAAACTATGATAAGCGTTTTAAATGAGAATATCCCTTCACTCGCATCGAAATATTTTATAAATTATTTGTACCGTGCTTTTGGTGTTCTATAATGAACATTCTATTTGTAATAAAGATGGATTATTTTAAATTTTATAATTAGTTGAGCAGAGAAATGATAAGAAAGTAGGTAGGATATTTTGGGAAGTGCTTAGCAAGGAGAAATGCTAGATTTCTCGTGCGTCCCAGAAGCATAATGTCTTACCATTAGGCAAATAATGTTTCTGTACCAAACCCGCAGACTTGCAGGGCCATGTGTTGAGCCATGTGTCTTGATTCCTAATTTGGAAAATATATTACTATAATTAGGGGAGCATGTTAGGCTTGCCTGAAATGAAAATGTCTAACTAAAAATAGGTGAATCATAATTTTGTCAACCTTATCTGTACTTTTCATGAATTATCTAAAGAAATGCACAAATTTGCTTTTCTGAATGTTCCCCAATCTGTAATGCCAGGAATAAAATACTAGTGCAGTTAACTGGTAGACACCAATTAAATATCTGTAACAGTAAATTGAATTTCTAAGTCAGAAATTTAGATGTCAGAAATGTGTGAGTTATTGCTGCTCAGCCCCGGGGGCTTAAGAAGGTGTTGAGCCAAATATAAATACACACTGGCACAAACACGCATGCAGGCACGCATGCGCACTGTGAGGCCCTGTGACAATGGGGAAAGTGTGTATCAGGAGACCTGAGCTTCCTCTCAGTTTCCAGCAACTTTTAAGTTTTTTTTGGTACCAGGAATCGAACTCAGGACCTTGCACTTGCCAGGCAGGCACTTATGCCACTGAGCTATATCTACGGCCCTAAGTTTTCTTATCTATTAAAAAATGTTGGGTTAGATCATCTGTGATTATTCTTTTTCTTTTTTCTTTTTTTTTTTCTTCCTTTTTTTTTTTTTTTTTTTTTTAGAGACAGGGTCTCACTTTGTAATGAAGGCTGGCCTCAAACTCACAGCAGTGCTCTTGCCTCAGCCTCCCAAGTGCTGAGATCACAGGCGCAAGCCATCACACACAGTTGTAATATCTCTTTCATTTAAAAAAAAAATCCTCCAGGCGTGGTGGTGCACGTCTGTAATCCCAGTACTCGGGAGGCTGAGGCAGGAGGATCGTTGGGAGTTTGAGACCAGCCTGAGCTACAAAGTGAGCTCAAGACCAGCCTGAACTGCATAGCGAGACCCTGTCTCAAAAAGACAAAAAAAAAAGACAAAAAAGTCCACATGTAAAATTGGATGACATCCTGCTGTGGTGGCCTATAACCCTAGCACTCAGGAAGCTGAGGCAGGATTGCTTTGAGTTCAGGCCAGCCTGGGCTACATACCAAGTTCAAGGCCAGGCTGAAGACAGAGCCAGACCTTGTCTTCAAAAATAAGTAAATAATTGATGCCTCTAAGAAATAATGTAACTTTTTCAAAGGATGAAAAAATAAAAGGGAGAAGAGATTCATGTCTTTTGAACGTTCCCAGTCACAAGGTACAAAGTGTCTCTTATGCAAGATTTGCACCTCAAAGGGCTCTTCCCTGGCTAATTACTAGCTAACATTTTGGAGCCGTGCAGGGGGTGGCCCGCTGAATTATTCCATAGACTGACAGAGGAAAAGAGAATTTGAGGCGAGGCTGCAAGTAGCGCCACTCCCCAGGGACTTTCTTCCTCCTGAGCAAAGGTGAGGTTGCCAGATACCCAGCTGTGGCATCACTGCCTCGCGTCTCCCAGCAACTCCAGAGGGGGCCTGGACAGGAAGAAAGGGTTACGGGTAACAAACAACTTTCAGGGTCACTGTGAAATACGATTCTTAAAAGTGTGCTGAGCTATTACGTCACAAGCACACACAATTTTGATTTTGGAGAGAGATATCAGCTCTACATCTTTTAATTCTTATTCTACTTCCTTATAAACGAAGCCGGGATTACAACAAAATGGCCATTGAGGGCTGTGTCTTTCACCAAGGTTTATTTCACTTCTAGAGAATCAACCTTTTACCTTTATTTGAAAATAAGGCAACGAGCCAGGCGTAGTGGCACACACTTGTAAGCCTAGCACTCAGGAGGCTCAGGCAGGAGGATTGCTGTGCCTGGGCTACGTACTGAGATCCTGTCGCCAAAGAACTGACCCAAAAGAAGGCAGCAGCGCCGGGCGAGGTGGTGCACACCTGTAATCCCAGCACTCAGGAGGCTGAGGCAGGAAGATCGTTGCAAGTTCGAGACCAGCCTGGGCTACAAAGTGAGCTCAAGGCCAGCCTGAACTGCATAGCGAGACCCTGTCTCAAAGACAAAAAAAAAAAAAAAAGGCAGCAGCAACATGCAAGTATGTTACTGGTACCCATTACTTTTTAAACATCCGTGCCACACAAACGACAGAGTGTACATCTTTGATCTTAAGAAGTATAAACTAACCAAGTTATTAAAAACCAAGAAAACCATTTGTTCTCAGCATTTCCCAAAGGAAGGCCTGCACTTGTGTCCGAGGAAACCTCAGCGCGGTTTCCTGGGGCTTCTACCCAAGGCTGAGTGAAGGCTGGGCTCACCGGGACAGACTGGCAAACAGACTTTGATAATTAAAAGATAACCAGATAGCACTGAGCAAACCCATTTATCGAACACAGCTTGAGCTAGAAGGAAAAGGTCTCGCTGTAACTCACTTGCTCCCTGTTAACATGAAGACCCAAAGTCCAAATCTAGTATCTCTTATTATTTTATTTTTTGAGACGGGGTCAGGCTATGCAGTTCAGGCTGGCCTTGAATTCACTGTGTAGCCCAGGCTGGCCTCGAACTCCTAGAGATCCTCCTGCCTCAGCTTCCTGAATGGCGTACACCACCACAGCCAGCTAAACCAAATCTTGGAATTGTTTTACATTTGCCAGAGGATGAGGAATTTGATTTTAGCAGGAGATTTTAGCCCTGATTCTAGGAGCTGAGACACTGTTCACGACATTCGAAGTACAAAGAACGTTTATTTAAAGTTCTGTGAGCGAATGTTAGAGTACTTTAAATACACTGAAAGCATGGGCTGCATATGTTATTATGCTGCTCTGCCTACAGAAATAGAATATAGTTATATATACACACACCGGTTGTGGCAGCCACGGCTGCAAGTTCACACGTTTCTCAGGCCTTGTCTACTTTGCCTTGTGTTCCTGATCAAGAAGGTTAGGAGGAGGCCAGGTGTGGTGACACAGGCCTATAATCCCAGTACTCTGGAGGCTGAGGCAGGAGGATCGCTGTGAGTCTGAGGCTAGCCACACCGAGACCCTGTGTCAACGATGACAGCAGAATCCTCTGGAACAGGTCTGTGTAATGACAGAACCTCTCCCAAAGATGGAAACATGCCACGTTCCCGCGGCCCAATCCCGCGGGCGCCTTGTGACAACTGAGGGCTGCAAATGCAGCCGGGGGGGCCGAGAACGAAGCTCTTCATCTCAGTGTAGCTTCAGACAACCACGTGTGCTCAGCAAGTCCTGGGCCAGGCAGGGCAGGCCCACAGGCTTCCCGGCGCTCGTGTCTAGCACCTGTGCTGAGAGAGCACACACGCTTGGCTGGTGGCAACTGCATGTAGCCCCTTCCCATCCCCGAGCCGGCTCGGAGTAGCTGGCAGAGCATCTAAGAGGAAGCCTCGAGAGGGAGCGCTTGTGGAGAGAGAACTTTCTGAGGGAGCCACGTGGTCTTCCTGTTTGTTTTGTTTTGTTTGAGACAGGGTCTGATTATGTAGTCCAGGATGAACTTGAACTTACATGGAGCTCAGGCTGGCCTCAAATTTCCAGCGATTCTCCTGCCTCAGCCTCCTTGGTGCTGGGATTACAGGTGCGTGCCACCACACCTAACTGCTGCATGGACTTGTAGGAGCCAGCCTCAGATGACCTGAAGCACCACTCTACCAGGTTCTCTTGGTTACAGTAATCGAAAGCCAGATTCAAGGGGTTAGGACAGAACCCCGCCTCTCAAGAAAAAAATATGAAAATATTGGAGGTCATTTAAAAAATTTGCTGCTAGGGGTGATGGCGCATGCCAGTAGTCCCAGCACTCAGGAGGCTGAGGCAGGAGGCTCACTGTGAGGTCGAGCCAGCCTGGGCTACAGAGTGAGTTCAAATCTAGCCTGAACTATATAGCAAGACTCTGTCTCAAAAATAAATAAATAAATAAAAATAAGTAATTTGTGACTGAGGCACTTTCATCTTGAAAACAGATATAATGGCAAGAGCTTCAGCAGCTTTTTTTTTTTTTTTTTTTTTTTTTTTTTGGAGACAGGGTCTATGCTATGCAGTTCAGGCTGGCCTTGAGCTCATTTTGTAGCCCAGGCTGGTCTTGAACTCACAATAATCCTCCTGCCTCAGCCTCCCGAGTGCTGGAATTATAGGCGTGCACCACCACGCTCTGCTAGCCAAGACTTTTCAACTGAGCTACATCCCCACTTTTCTCTGCTTGATTGCTATGTCACTAAATTGCCCAGACATTCAGTCCTCCTGCCTCAGCCTCCCAAGTGCTGGGATTACAGGTGTGCACTGCCATGAGTTGTGTTTCTTTTTTTTTTTTTTTTTTTTTTTTTTTTTTTTTTTTTTTTTTTTTTTTTGGTCTTTTTGAGACAGGGTTTCACTATGCAGTTCAGGCTGGCCTTGAGCTCACTTTGTAGCCCAGGCTGGTCTCGAAGTAGCAACGATCCTCCTGCCTCAGCCTCCCGAGTGCTGGGATCACAGGCGTGCACCACCACGCCCGGCCTGAGTTGTGTTTCTTTTTTATTTTTTTATTTTTTGGTTTTTCTCCGGTACCAGGAACCGAACTCACGACCTTGGGCTTGCCAGGCAGGCGCTTTGCCGCTGAGCTAAATCCCCAGCCCCCTGAGTCGTGTTTCTTAAAAAGGACGAAACAATATTGTGCTCATGATTTTTTACCGAGGCCTTTCCCGCCTGCACTTTTCTGGCACATCTCACGCTGGTTACTGCTAACTGCTTGAGCTGTCCGCTGTGACGCGTCCCTGGATCAATGTGAGTTCCCCTGGCAGGGACCCCGCTCGCTTGCTGAGCTGCAGGGAGCATGCGCACTTGGTGGGTAGAGTCTGCCTTGCAGTCGCGCTCTGCAGACACGGCTGTGTATGGCTGCTCCGCCGGAGTGTAATAAATAGAAGCGATGATTACCCTGGAGGCCTGAGGACCAGCAGGCGTTGCGTGGGAAGACGCTTCTGACCAACAGTCCTGCAACACCGCGAGATTTTCCTTTCTTCCCTTCTCTCCCCTCCTCCTTTTCCTTCTTAGAGTGGGCAGAAATTCAAATTCCGGTTCAACTAAGAAAACATGCCAGACAGGCGCGGTAGCACATGCTTGTCATCCCAGTACTGGGGAAGCTGAGGCAGGAGGATCACTGTGAGTTCGAGGTCAGCCTGGGCTACAGAGAGACACCCTGTCTCAAAAAAAAACCCGAAACAAACAAATGCAGGAAGTTGCTTTTAAACTATAAATGAGTATCAGCACGCTCTCTTCTGTCATGCTGGGGATCAGCTGTCATTTCTGCCTGTGAAGTGCTTTTCCATCTCATCCAGAGGCTTCTACTTTTTTTTGTGGCTCTGGGCAGTGAGCCCAGGGCCCTGTGTGGGAAAAGTAAGGGCTCTGCTGCTGAGAGACATCCACACGCCGGCGCAGGCCACGGAGACAGCTCGGACTCTGTGACTGGGCAGAGTGGCCCGGCTGGGTGTGGGGTCTGAGGAAGGACTCCGGCAGGCCGGGAAGCCAGGCTGTGCAGGCCACATGGTGGGAAAGTTGTCCTTTGGCCTCCAATGGGCAGGAAGATGTTGGAAGCCCAGGCAACTCAGTGAGGCCCTGTCTCAGAATGAAAAACAAACACAAAAAGAAATTTAAAAGGGCTGGGATGTAGCTCAGTGCAAAGGCCCTGGGCTCAATCCCCAGTGACATGCACAGAAAAGAAAGAAGAAAGAAAGGAAAGAAAGAAAAAGAAAGAAAGAAAGAAAGAAAGAAAGAAAGAAAGAAAGAAAGAAAGAAAGAAAGAAAGAAAGAAGGGGCTGGGGATTTAGCTCAGCGGCAAAAGCACCTGCCTGGCAAGCGCAAGGTCGTGAGTTCGGTTCCCGGTACCGGAGAAAAACCAAAAAAA